AGCAATTAAGGTATAGCTATATCTTTGCAGGCTAAGGTAAATATCATGAAGCTGACTGAGGAGAGACGCACAAATACTGAAGAAAAGGATTTGCTTAAGAAAGAGATGGTGAGTTCTTTTCTTTTGCCATATCCATCTTCAATCTTAAGTCTAGAAACTGTATGCATTCTGTTTTTCATATCCAGTAGTAGTGCCTTTTCCTAAAGTAGAAATTTTAGGATTAAACTTTATAAAACGTCACTGTAACCCTCACCAACACCTTCATTTGCTTGCTAATTGTAAAGCAATTAACTTGCTAGGAACTATTAGATGTTATCATATTTGATACAAGTTTTTTTCCATGTTTTGTTAGGAGGTGTTGAAGAGGAAAATGAATGCGAAAAGAGTTGAGGATGGCTTTCCATTACTGTTTGTATGCATGGTTGCTCTTGTCAGCATGGTGGCCGGATACTATATTCATCCATAAGTAATGGATTTCTATGTAATGATTAATTCACTGTTTATTACCATTGCTTTTTGCACCAAAGATACCGAATGAGGAAAACAAGTGTATGATGAATTTCGTCCATTCAACCATGGTTACTAGTTACTAGATTCATTCGTGCAATTTGCTCTACATTATATTTTGTCTAACTAAATTCTTAGCCACGCTTTCTCTGATAGACTACTAAGTATTATCCACATCCAATCATAAATAAATTGATTAATATGGTGTCCTAACTATTATAGAAAGCATTTGGATACTTTCACATAATGAGTTTAATTAATATGGTTGGTTTGATTAAACATGCCAACAATCATGTGTAATTTACAAAATAACCGTTAATTATATTATGGTCCCCCATTCGGCTTCTTCACCTCATCAGTGCAGGACTACAACTAAGCCACTGAACTTCACACTACATCAAACAGTACGTCTTTATTTAATCTTTCTTCAGAAATGCAGCTGTAGCTTATAATTCGATTAAACATAGCATTGGTTAATTTATTGAAGTTTCAGTTTAAGAAGAACCTTCTCTAAGGAAAGTGCTCATTAATCATATAAATGCAGAACAATTACACACCATCTATGATACCAATAGAATGTAAAATACAATAGGGTGCTTGGGAGACAATAAGTACACACGTTGAAGCAACATTGACAACACATAAGTCATTCACACTGACCGACTTCGTTAACAAAAATGTGACTATGAAATTATAAAGGTGATTGTAGATTATAGAATGACTCAATGTTGTATCCATCTACTTTGGGATTCGGCTGTGAATGTTATAAGCTGAAAGCCAGATGAGGAAGACAATGACAATGGTACCAAACAAAGCCACTGCAATGGAACCAGCAGTATGCTTACAGAATTTGTCATAGACATTGCAGATTTTAAGCCAACCCACATGCTTGTTTCCCTTTAAACCCACATATGCCACACCTCCAGCTGTGCCTGTTGCTGAAGCTATTATCCCCAATATCAGCTGTATATAAAGACATGCTAAGTTATTTCTTTGTTATATATACTTTGATATTTATATAAAGTGCAAGTGAATTGTGAAATAAGAGAAGATGAATAGCATGATCAAAAGAAAGGTTAATTGATTGACAAATTACCGCATCCCAGAAAATAAAATGGAGTAGGAGCTTCGTTTTGAGCTCTGGCTTCTTGATTACAGAGAGTGATGCCAGAGTGGTAATGATGCTATATAGGCCAGAAACAGAGAATGCAGCCACAAAATATCTGCATGTATAATATCATATCATATGTTAAAATGTCAAATTGTCAAATTGCATATCTATAATAACAAGTAATATTGACAAGAGTTTGTTTGAAAAGAAAAAACAAGAAAAACTAAGGCATTGTTGATGAATGAACTTACATAAATGGAAGGCTTTGAACATTTAAATAAATAAAATAATTGAGGACAAATTACTTAAGAATAATTGAGCATTTAAATAAAAAGAATAATTGAGGACAAGTATAATAAAATTTGTAAATCGGCTAAGAATTTGAACAAATCACTCTAAACTTACACAAAAGCTGGTGAGTATCTGAACTTGGCTGGCTGTGGCACAGGTCTACCCTTGTAAAGCACTAGTTCTGTTTCATTACTAGTGATCATCACCACAACTGCTACTAATGATGCTGCAAACAACAAAAACCTGAGGATCACATCAAATTTAAAGTAATCAATGCCTTCCTGAGCTGAAGGAGTTGAAGATGCTTTGTACTCAAGGTCACTAGGCTTATCTGTAGAAGCCATGTATTGCTTCTATGCAAGGTTACAATTGCAGGTACTAGTATTATGACTTAGTTGAAGTCTTGAAGAGGATAAGGCAAGTTGAACAATAATTTTATGCAAATATATATAGATGGATTTGGACTTGAGGGGAAGTCTAATGAACTAGAAAAGTGTAAAAACAAATGAGTTGGAGTTTCCTACACGTTAGAGTTGATTTGAAAGTTGGTTTGTGACAAGCCACACAGCTAACATTCTACATTTTTATGTTAGAATATTTGGTATTATTCATACTATGATGGTTTGCATGAAATATATAATATTGGATATGCTTAATTTCACAAAAGATATTATGGGTTGCCAACTCAATAAACTGGTTGTTGTAATCTTCTATTCTGATTATGGATGTCTATCATGGGGACAGAGGACATAGACATGCATAAGAGTTACATGTACAAGTATGGTTGCTTCTACCTATTAAAGTCGTTTCTTGTAGAACCAGACTCTTCTGGTTGGAGAAAGATTATTATTAAATACAATATTTGAGCCTAACTTTACCCTGAAAGTCAAAAACTTAGCTAAAGAGGTTTGTGTCCAACTATTTATAAATGGTTATTTTTCCATATACTCAACCAAGTTAGGAACTTAACACTTAAATTAACGCCCTTAACTTATAGAAGGATGTGATTGAGTCTGATGAATATATCATTATAAGGACTTACTTTAACCCTTGTGAGTTCAATACACATTACATTTGATAAAAAAATACATTTTTAATCTAAATATACTTCTTTAATCAATTACAAATAATCATTTTGATTGATACGTATTATAATCAATTACGGTGTTTAATTTATTTCAACAATCCAGATAGACAATAAGGTTGACCATGAACCTTCTTCTCATATGTCATTTAGTTAAGAATATAATTCGGGTTAAATAGCACCATAGTAGAAAAATGTTTAACAAATGAAGTTTTAGATGCTTTGTAAAATAGAGCACAGCATAGCGAAAAAGATGGTTGGTTACATGACACGAATATTACACCCATGCAAACCATAGCTCCATCGCTAAACCATAACAAGTTAACAACAAAAACCTTCCTTTTCCTAGTTCATTCATACATATATAAGCATAAAGGGATTCCAACCTTCATATATCAACTTTGATCCTTTTCTTTCTATTAATTATCTCTCATTGTCTTTTTCCAACTATCAATTTACACACATAAACCAAACAAACAAAATGGGTTGTGGGAAATCTAAACATGATGTTGCTTCTGACAATACCCTCCAGCGCAAGAAATCCTCCAAGACAGGACAGAAAAATTGGACAGAAACCAAAGACAATAATGTTGACAATGTTGTAAGTTCAGAAGTGGAACAAAATAACAATGAAAATGTCAAAGAAACTGGTGTTGGGGGTAAGGCTGATGAGTCCAATAATGAGAAAGACAAATGTTTTGATGTGAAAGAAGATAAGGCACTAGAGGAGAAGAGCAAGGGTGCTGAGGAAACTACACAGAAAAGGGAAAATGTTGATGTCAAGGAACCAATATCAGATAAAGATGATCCATCATTGAAAGAGAATGATGCTCCTGCCATTGCTCTAGAAGAAGAAAAGAAAGGAGAAAACCAAAAAGGTGTGCAAAGAATGACCCTTTAGATCAAATACGTTTGTGAAAATATTTTCTGTCTTGGTTTTTGCCTTTGTTAACCATAGCAAAATGTTAGTATTTGCTGTTTACAAAATATTATTACATGTTGTTTTCACTGCAATACAAACTTTGGAAATAAGGAGTCATATTTATAATTACATAGAAACGGAAGATAAAAAAACACTTCTGCAAACCATGCGAACACTTGGATTCTTGTGACCCAAGTCACATTCACTTAATCATTTTCTCAAAAAACGATAAGCAAAAGCTGGTGGTTATAAATTATAATATTCTGGTGTATGTGTACAGATGAAGTGGAAACCAAAGGTACAGTTCAGGAAGAGACTTTGACTAAGGAAGAAGAAACCAAAGACACAATTGTTCCAACCGCGGAAGGTGAAGAAAAACATTAAAATTAAAGCTGAGTTGGTATGTGAGGTTGATAAGGGTTCACACTTCACACATTGTCTTAATAGTGAGAAACAAAACATGTTTGTGTTGCAGGGACAATAGAGAATTGGACAACCAACAAAGTTGGAAATATTAGTATTTCATGACTGTCATGCGTGTCTATGGTGACAAGCATTTATGTTGTTCCCGACATTGTTTTTTGTTTCCTCTGTCCTCAAACATATCACAGTGATGTAACACATTCTGAAAGACTGATATATATTGTCATGCCTTCATTCATTCCTTTCTTTTCTCTTCTCTTTCTGTCTTTAGTTCTTTGATTTCTTCCTTCCGGATATCTAAAATGCATAACCTCGGTGCAACCAATGAAATGAAAATCAATGCAATTAAAATGGTGATCGAGAGAGTAATAATTCGTCACTGGCACACATAAACCAAACAATATTATTACATTATCACCATATTTTATCCCTTACATCTTCAATACAAAGTTCATAATTGCCACCCTCAATCCATTTATGGTGCACATCTCTGTTTCCAATAAACCAACAAATAAAATTAATACCTTGTTAGTTAGTGAAAAGTAAACCAATAGTAATACAACATCAAACAAGCCATAATCCTAATGTCAAAATTATATAATCACTAAATCAATTAAGCAGTTTAAGGACATCAAAGATTTCTGAGTTCCATCTTCTTGCAAACTTGTCACTGTATATTTGAGACTTGCAGGACTTGCTCAAGTACTAGAAGCAGGAAACAACAGTTTTTTATATAGGAAGATTGTATCAGGTAACATCCCAGCATCTGGATGCTCCCCTTCTATTCTTCCAATAATTGCAAACATTCATTACTTGTTTAGAAGTTTGGAAACTCATTTCTGTAAAAAAAAAATATAGAATATCAATACCAGATGCAAAATAAAATTAACAAGCATAAGCAAACAACCAAGAAACAAACATTAATCAAAAGATAGAGGTAAATACTAAATGCTCAAAGTGACAAAGGATAACTCCAGAAATATGGATTGGTCAAAATGTTAGTAGCATGTTGAATAATATATCTATAGTAAAGTGTATTGAAATTAACAATATTATTTCTAATTTTAAGATAAGTAAAAAAGAGTGGTCTAATTCACCAAAAATAAGTAAAAATATAAGAAAAAAAGAACAAACAAAAAATAATTGATGATTTTTTATTTTCCAAAAGGACAAATAAGTGAAAATGCTATTAAAATGACAGGCAAAATCTCTATAATGCTTAGATCACGCTTTATAATCTGATGTCTAAGTTTTGAGATGAATCTAACCTTAAAATGATAATTAAATTGAGAGAGAGTGAGTAATTAAGTGAGATGATTTATTGGAATAAATTTATATTTTTATTAGAAAAACATCTATCTTTGTCACTAATCATGTGAATGTTACAGTTTATCAACTTATCATCCCACTTTGACTAAGGCAATACTTGGTAATGTAATGTATCAGTATTACCACTTTTTTTTATCGGCATAATGTCTGTGGTGACCATATATATGTTAATTTGTTATGGTATCCACTTTGATTTCATTGGGAAGTGGAAAGAGACGAGTACTTTGATAAAAATGGAGCCGAAACAGCAAAAGCTAACATAACATGACCGTGTTTGAACAAAAAGTGCTTACTATAACATCTGTCACTTAAATACCATTAGTCTTTCTTGTCCTAAAAAACATGCTTATCTTTTTCCCTAAATCCCGGACGACCTTTAACATTGACAACAAAATGTGTGCCAGTTTTGGACAATGTGCACAATTCCTTATGTACTACTCGTACACAAGGACTACATGCTAAAAAGTAAAAACTATCTAGTGGAAATCAAATTAAAGGTGTCATATTTTACTACACTTTTTGTATATTTAAACTTAATATATGTCACATCTAATGTGTAAAATAATCATTTGTTATCATTTACCAATAAGTAAAAGGATTCATGAAAAATGTGCTAAGATAACATTGTGGAAGAAACACATCTACTTTAAAGCCACATATTTTGAGATGTACCTTGACTAATCTTTCTTCTTTTGTAAATGGTAAGTTTCAAAACCTTCCATGGGAAGAATGGAATAGCATCCTATTGATGTTCAGCTTCTTCTTTCTTTCTTTTTTATTACTCTATAGCATGCACGTGCTACTATAATATATGTCTAGTTTTCCATTCTGTCACTCATAAAAGTCCTAGTTAATTTCTTCAACCTTCTATGATGCCATGTTCAACTTTCTGCATCATAAAATCTTTAGTCAAAGAGTCAAGGGTCTTACATTCAAAACTTCATTCGTAAGAAACAAAATCAATAATTAATCTTAAACAAATCTAGTTGAACATGCATGTGTGGCATCTCTAGCATTTGAATATTTTTTCACTTCCTTTGCTTACAAACTATAGTGGGTCCAAAACAATTTTACAAGAGCCACCAACCTATTATTGACTGTAAAACGTTCTGTCATTCAAAAATATAAATTTGGTTTTGGTAAAATTAGTGAAACTTTAGCTTATGATTGTGAAGCTAACCAAATGATATAATAATGTAGTTGAAAATTTGTTCTTGTGTAGCTGATTAAAATTGAAAAATGAAAGAAAAAAAAGTTGTTTTGACAAAGTAATAATACAAATAATTGAAATTTATTAAGTAACATAAAAGAGGATATATATTATATTGATGTAATGAGATGCATATTGCCCAAGAATTATGACAATTTTCATCCCTCATTTAGCATTACTTGAATTAACTATGGACAATCTAGTTTTCAGAAGCTATAATATTCTTTACTAATATTTTCTCTGTTTTTATTTATTTATAAGATCATTCTCAGAGTATAGTTTTGATTATTAAGATAACACTATTTTCAAAGTTTTATGTATATTAATTACTTTTTTATCAAAATACTATTTTTTGGTTGAAATTATCAAAATATTCAGAAAGAAAAATCATTAATTAATTCATTGAAAAAGGAAGATAATGAATATAATCAATAAAGGACAATCTCAGAAAAATGTACATAACTATTGACAAATTTAATGTCATTAAAAACATTAACTATATTGTTTAATTTCATAATTCATCACATAATTTTACAACCTTATTGATGAGTAAGTGAATAAGTTATAAACTTATGTTACCAAAGCATGCTTTAAGAACAAGGACAGCTTAGACCAATTTGATATGATTAGCATTATGCTGTTCCCAATGTTACATGGGCATGTGATTGCAAACTAATTAATTAAAAGGAGTACATTTTTACTTTCCTTATAGGACTAAGAATTAATATAAATGTACCACACCGTGCTTTAGCTTTATGGGGCGGTTTAATACAACTCAATTTGCAAGGGTCCTATATATTTTTCATTGCACTTTTGACTAGAGACTTTTCCTAGTGGCTTTTGGAGATGAGAGATGGTGACCCCTGTCTCACATCATCGGATTTTGTTGAAAATTGCTTAAAGGTAATTTATCTAAAAGACAGTTACAGGAAACAAGGTTTTCAATATTTTTGTTATCTATTCTGTGTCTTTGGAAATTTTCTCCACCATGCTTAAAATTATGCAGTGTAAATACATTGTTGTGTGTCTAAAATCTAAATATGAAATAATTTGCATAAGAACATGGAAACACTCAACATATTTTGATGGGATTTGTGCATGGAAGGTCCAAAACACAAGCATAATAATGTTATAAATTAAACTAAAATTTGCAGGAAACTATAAATGTTGTGTTTTGCATAGGTAAGATGAACATCAACAAGATGTTGGTCTAGTGGTGTAAGACTTTAGTTCTAGAGTGAGAAGTTGCTTGACTCTCAAATATGAAGTAGGCAATCATAACAGGGCAGTTTAGCTTTCTCAAATGCTAAGCATAGTCAACAGATATGATCAGTTTAGCACAAATAAAAATTCTACATTTGATTACATTAAATATCACTCAATTGATATCTGAAGCTTACTTAATGTATAATGGGCCCTACAAAAGGGAAGTTTTCATTTTTGTACTCCATTGTGGGGTTGTTTCCAGGAGACAAGACAGAGTAGAGTCATACAAAATCTAAAATTCATGATAATTTTGTGTGTATAGTAGGATATAAATTTAACTGCTCCCTTTGAAAATGATGAAGCAAACAAGACCTTGTTATATAATTTGTGGAGTATTTTGCATAAAATGCGGATTCACATGTGCAAAATAGATGCAGCTAGTGAGTGTGATGCTAAATTTCTAAGATTAGTACCTCTATTTCAAATATTTGAGACTCTCTAGGAGTATGGTGACAAAACCACCCAGTTATTTTCCTTTTGTGGTGTTGTCTGGGATTGATTCCACCACAACAATAACAATGATTTCATTCCTACCAATCATTCAGCTCTTCCAAAAAATGACACTATGTATTCTATAACAAACAAATCTTAATTAGGTCAATATCTATCATGTGTAGACCAAAAATAAATGTAATGAATTGATGTGGGGTGAAGCTTTTCTTTTTTGGTGCATGAGGTAATACATCTATACAAGGATTATAAAAATGACAAGAGGTAATACATTATTCACTGTGTTTTAATGCTAATTTAAATGCATCTATTTTCCCATCATATTAATTCTATGATTATGCTTATTACTAGGATTATAGGATACATGAAATAACCTTTTTTAGAGTGTCATTGGAACTAGGAGAGAAAATGAGTGTTGCAAAGAAATAAAAGGTGAAGAGTGTAGTTGATAGAGGCCTATTTAAAGTAGTTGACAAGTAAATGGAATCTTTATTTTCACTGTTTAGTTGTAACCCTAAAGTAAATGGGATAGAGAAGTAGAGATATAATAGAAATAAGAAAGAGAAAGGATTTGAAAAGTAGCTGAAAAAGGAAGGAAGGCTTTGTTTATTTTTTTCTCATCATGATGATAGATGTCAAGTCTCGGTCATCATGTATTATAGACCAATTAAATTGTATTAATTCAATTAAATATAAAATTATAAAAATAAAATTATATTACTTGATGTATATTAGGTAAAGAAACATAATGAGACAAAGTTTTTGGGACAAAATATTTATATCGCCATGATCATCAGGGAGAATGAGGATAGTATGTACCAAAATTTATAATTCTGATATTCCAAACCAATCTTCTTTTTCTTTTTAAATAATTAACAACTTTAAATTGATATAAAGTGATACTCATTCCATCACAAGTCACAGTCTTTAAAAGACTTGTCACATTCATTCATCATAACATAACATAACCTTCCACTTTCTGCACTCCCATTCTGTTCTGCACTATATATCTCTTCAGCTCTTACCTTCTGCACTCCCATTCTGTTGTGTACTATCTCTTCAGCTAACACTATTTAACTTCCCTTATCTAACTCACATTTTCTTTGCCATTATGTCATCATTGAAAGGAGCATATGAACCAAACCAAGCTGAAATTTGCTTATCACTTCTTCAAAGAAACACTACATGTCCTTCTGGTGAGAGAAGAGGGAGAAGAAAGCAAGCAGAAGCAGGAAGGTTTCTTGGTGTGAGGAGGCGCCCTTGGGGTAGATATGCTGCTGAAATTAGAGACCCTACAACAAAAGAAAGACATTGGCTTGGAACATTTGACACTGCTCATGAAGCTGCTCTTGCTTATGATAGAGCTGCTCTCTCTATGAAAGGAAACCAAGCAAGAACCAACTTTGTTTACTCTCACAATATCAATTTTCACACTCTTGTTACTTCTCCAATGGATGTTCAAGAAGTTCAACCTCTCTTGCCAGCTTCACAGGTTCTAGGTACTTACACTCAGATTAAACAACC